CATTAGCATTATTTTCTGTCTTCATAATTATAATAGTGATTGCTCCCAACGTCATAAGTTAGCCGTTATAAAAAACCTAATCCAACGTACACAAATAATATCTTCTTCCAAAACCGTATTCTATAAAGAATTACATAACATTAGACAAACACTTGTTAATAACACGTTACATTGCATCGCGACATTGGCTCTGTTCGTATACATCGGTCTATCGCGTGGTATGACGTCATAGAACCACGTTTGAAGTTAGGATCTTCGTCTGCTATTCTGCGACCGTTATCGTCGCATAGCAATTTTCTACGTAAAAATAACAAAATATCATCTTTGAGGGCGGATATCTTTGTTTCATGTCTGTATAACCAATCTGAGGATGGCTCATGGGAGCCGAAGCTTAGGACCAACTTAATAATAAAATATCCAAATGTTGGACAATTTTTATCTTTATTTTCACCAGAAATTAAATCAAACATTCGAACAGTAGAACGACTCATCATCAGACATAATAAACATTCATATATATATATATATATATATATAATAAAAATATTATGACCATCCAAAGGTATCGACATATTGTGAGAATGACAGCTATTGTCTCATAACAATTTTGCATTTCAGGGTTAGAAGTATATATGGAAATAAACTGGGCCTTTATACTTCCTTCTGGTGTGTTGAATGCCGTATATTTGAGTTAGTTTGACAAAGAATTTTTTTTCCGCAACTGCAAGGCTTGTCACACGCTGAGGTTCTGTTTTGATGAATACCCATCGAGAGAGTTCTAAAACGAACAGCAACCGAAGATTTATCGACGCGAAAATTGAACGATGGCCTTGCCGTCGAGTAAAGTGTTACAGTGACACAAATTGCAGATAGTTTTAATGAAGCAATCGTTGCCTGAACACACGCAGTACATCGATACACACACACACACACACACACACACACACACACACACACACACACACACACACACACACATATATATATATATATATATATATATATGCCGTAGGCCAGTCAGACATGTTAAACACAGTGGATTGCTGAAATCGTCAGCAGTTGGTCGTCAGAAGCGAACGTTTTTTTTTTTGCTAAGGGTCCGCTGTATGTTGTTTTCATTTGAGTAAAGTTAGGAAGGCAGGCATGTGAACGTTATGTTATTCTGGCGAAGCAATACCGTAAGGATTTAATTTGGGAAAAGAGGAAGTCGGTGTGAACAGCGTGTTTGTTTGGGTAACTGTTATGGTAATTTACCTAATTACGCATAGACTCTCCCAGCTATAAATAGGAGCAGGTACTGCCTTTTGGAGTGAAAAGTATCCAGCAGTCCGACCGAACATTCTTGCCGTAACATTTTCATTTGTATATGTTTGTATTACTGTTTCTATGAATATATTTGTTTAACTTAATTCTGCTTTTGTGGTTTTTATTTCTGGCTCCTAACAAGGCCACAACAGAGAAGGAGGAGAAGCAAGAAGAAGAAGAAGAGGAAGAAGAAAGAGGAGGAAGAGGAAGAAGAAAGAGAAGGAGGAGAAGGTGGAAGAGGAAGAAAAAGAAGAAGAATGTTATGGTATTTGTTTAACTCAATTCCTCCTTTGTGTCTTTATTTCTGGCCCTAACAAGGCCACAACAGAGAAGGAGGAGAAGGAAGAAGAAGAAGAAGAAAGAGGAGGAAGAGGAAGAAGAAGAAAGGTATGAAACGGAAGAAGAAGAAAGAGAAGGAGGAAGATGAAAAAAAAAAGAAAAATGTTATGGTAATTTACCCACGCACGCATGGACTCTCCCAGCTATAAATAGGAGCAGGTACTGCCTTTTGCAGAAGAAAGTTTCCAACAGTCAGCTCTGACAGTCGAACCGAACATTCTTGCTGTAACACTCTCGTTTTTATATGTTTCTATTACTGTTTCTGTTAATATATTTGTTTAATTCAATTCCTTTCTTGTACCTTTATTTCTGGGCCCAAGAAAGCCACAGCAATACCGGAGAGGTATGGTGTCCGTCTGGCTCTTCTAAGACCACCACTTTCGGGCGCATTATCTTTGTCATACATATCCACTATGATTTCGCCGTCCTCCCAGTAGGACGCATCGTCTTTGCTACTATAAATATGAACCAGTGATGGGACAGGCAGCACCTCGTCCACTAGGATCGACTGCAGACTGTTAATCTTGTCTTTTAAGTCGATTAAGTTGGTGTTTCAAACAATTTTATTTTGAAATCATTTACTTCTATAATAAACACAATTTACATTAATCTTAAAAATATAAAGTCACCCACTCGAATTCTAACCATGCCCAACACGCGAGGGCTCGGATCAGAATTCAAAAACTACACAAATAATACATCTCACACAGTCAAAATATGAAAAGAATCTAACACCACCAAATTCATTCATGATTTAATGATTTAATGCGTTACTTTTAAGTTCTATGATTGTTGAATTTGGAAATTCTTTTATCGTTAAATATTTAATTTTTTATAATAATAATAATAATCGTAAGTATGAACATAGGTCATTATTTAAATAAGTAAGAGCGTACAAATAAAAAAAATATTTGAAATTGAGAAGTCTTTTCATTTCACTGGCGCATTATCATCTCTTCTCTCTTTCTCTTTCTTTCTCTCTTTCTTTCTTTCTTTCTTTCTTTCTTTCTCTGATATGTCATTTATGTCTTGCCTTGTGATAACAACGGAATAAGTCATTATTCACGAGGTCTGTTGGGAGTTACGTACGCGCTAACTAACTAAGGAATAAGCGGAATTATAACATGTTTATTGTCTCGACAAATTTAACGTTGCTATATTTGGACGACTTTTTATTCTCTTTCAAAACGTCGATATTACTTTCTAAACAAACGTATACAAGAAAAAAATATTTTCTTTATTATCGTAAATAAATTGAATAAATCAACTGAAACACGACGGATATACATTTTTCTGCGCTTCACATGTCGACAATAATAGAAATCGATGAAATTTGTTCATACGATATGACTTGGTGATTAGATTTACAAGGCAGGTGTTCTAGAACTTCAGAATTTCAACGTCACATGTCGTGGGAAATCATAACCATTTTCTCATCTATGAAAAAAAAAACTTTGGCATACTTATATAGATATGTATTTAAGTTAAGGAAGACAACATTAGTTACCGAATATCCACCCCAACAGACACACGTACACAAATGTGTATATGTATATATACAAATACTTTTATACACGGGCATAACAAATGCATTTTTTTAATCATTTCTCCCCAAGTAAAGCAGTTATGCACTAAGAAGTAATAGGTCACTGAGTGCGAAAGAATATGAGAAAAAGAAAACACTATTAAGGAGAGAGGACACTAAAAGAACAAGAATTAAGAAGACTGAAGATAACGATTGACATTGCATTTAAATTTTTGAAGAACAAATTGAGAATATGAGAAAAAGAAAACATTATTAAAGAGAGAGGACAAGAAGATAACGATTGACATTGCATTTAAACTTGTGAAGATCAAAGGCAATAAAGCCACTAGGACGCAAGGGGTTACTGAATGTTAGAGAATATAAGAAAAAGAAAACACTATTAAGGAGAGAGGACAATAAAAGAACAAGAATTAAGAAGACAGAATATAACGATTGACATTGCATTTATATTTTTGAAGATCAAAGTTGACTGGGAATCAAGAATCCAGAAGCGAGTTCCACAAGCGAGAAGTGCGAGCGAAGACGCTCTTAGAATAGAACTTACGGTTACACCTAGCCATTTAAACTGTAAAATGATGAGACTTTGATGCCAATCTAGTATTGTGCTGAAATGTATAAAGACGAGGCACCAAAGAGGAAAGTTTATTGGAACATTTACCATGGAACTGTTTATAAAAAAGGCCCAGGGGAGCTCTGTTAAGTCAGAAGGAGAGTAACTAAATCTCAATACCAATAACATTGCAGATTCTTTTTGGTATTTTATCAAGTATCTCTAAATACATAGCAAAAGCATCAGACCAGATGTGACAACGATATTCAAAGCAAGGAAGAATGGTTGACTTATTAATGTGTAGCTAGAACTTGTCGAAAAAAATTGTCTTGCACGGCACAGTGAAACAACTTTCCTAGCAGGCAATTAATTCCACTTCTTGTCAGCGGAAAACTTTAGCCCATACGAGACACAAGAAGTCACTCACCTAGAGGTTAGCATCAGCCATGATGGAAGGCAAAAAATGTTACAGTTTTTTTTGATACATGTGTGTACTAGTGAGCCAACCAAAATAAGCTGACTCATTTTATAGTCCCCCAAGAGAAGGGTTAACCAATCAGAAAGCTCAAAATATTCAATGCGACGTGTATAAAGGCAGCCATTTTGTTTTTTCTCCCAAAATATCTTCATTGCCAACCTGATATCGAAGACTTAAAGAATTAACAGGCTACTTTCTCCGAATCTCCACTGCCAACTTCGGATATTGAAGAGATTACGGACTTCACTGGATTCCATATTCATAGATTACGGCAAACATAGTCAACAAAAAATTCTCTTTAAAAATAGTTGTCACATTAAAACAATCTCATTGTCACTGGTTATTTTCTTTAAAAATCTGCATGCGTATTTTACTCCCTGGAAGCTAACATTATTAACCGTCGTGCACGTTATCTTCTCGGATTGTTCTGACCTTTTCAACGCGAGTTGGTCACAATACGACAGCTGCACAGAAACGTAAGTATTTGTCTATTTTTCTAAATACCTTAAGCTATGTAAATAATCCAGAACTTGCTTAGTAACCGAGAGAGTCGAGTATTCTTATTAATATGTTTTTTTGTCGAAACCAAGTAATTAGACTGTTGAGTTTTCATTTTTAAAAATGCTACAATACTAGCTATCTCTCCCTATCTTAGCTTCTTCGACATATGGTGCATTTAATTTTTACTATTCGTCAATCGTCGTCTTGTTTATCTCAGATTTTTGACATGTCCACCTTATTTTCAGGTGTCTATAGAATTGCGCGACCTTTGATATCGTGGAATGCGTTGTCAAGGATACCAACGGACGACATTTGCACTGCCAAGGTTTCATTTATCACGCACCTTCTCATCGAAGAAACTGTCAAGCGAGAAGAGAGGATTGGCGGGAAATCGCGTGTGGCGCCGACAAGACACTGACCACCTTTCATATCAACGATAATTAGAAAATGGCCGACTGCATGTACCAATTTCAATATTGACAATAATATCGACAATAATAATAAACTTCCTACGCATAGAGCATTGAACTGACAACTGAGAGGTTCTTGTTTTATTTTTTCTGTCTAGAATAAGTTTTCTCAATATTTCTTGTTTCTTTTGGGTTGTGAAAGGAAAAGATAAAAAAAATATTAGAACGTCAATACTATATGGCATACAATATGGCGTTCTCCAGCTTCCCACTATTCTCCATATTGCCTTTCGATTCTCGTTCACGCCGATGTACACCATCTAAACCTGGGAAAGATCCGTTGCACGTTCACACTGCAATAATAATAATAATAATAATAAGAAGAAGAACACTGTTTTCAATATTATAAAATATGATTTATCGGTTCGGATAGGTAGATAGGTGACGATTGAGACAACATCTGCTATGTTGTTTTCATAAAACAGATTTTTCTACTACCACCACGAACTACGCATTTTGTCTCTGGCAATACGAATGGACATCATCCGAACTACACGAACGGCTGTTTGTCCCCAAACAAGGGCAGGCCAGAACTCACCTCCCCTAACCTCAACTGTGACTATTAATATAGACCAACAAGTGGAAACGCTCTAAGTCCAGTTTGCTGTCACTTGACCCCGAATTCCTCCCCCTACCTTCAGATTCTCTTGTTCATCTTCGGTCAAATGAGTGACCCACTGGAACACTTGAGATTAAGAAAACGGTTTTTCCGTGACAATTACAATAAATGGTGTCAAGATGTCTAAATGTCTCATCTGAAAAACTGGAAAAAAGTAACAATTAGTTAAGTGATCTGTCTATATTTCTGAGATGAGCTGTTATGTGTACTATTTACATTAATCGGACAATTGTCCTCATCTTTGTTGCCATATTTATTAGAACGTTTCAGCCGTTGTACGCTCCGGCCTTCTTCAATATCTGTCTATATTTCTGAGATGAGGTACCATGTACACTACTTACATTATTCGGACTATTGTCCTCACCTTTGTTGTTATATTTATGACAATGTTTCGGCCGTTGTACACTCCTGCCTTCTTCAGTATCTGTCTATATTTCTGAGATAAGGTATTATGTACAATACTTACATTATTCGGACTATTGTCCTCACCTTTGTTGCTATATTTATTACAAGGTTTCGGACGTTGTACGCTCCGGCCTTCTTCAGGTGGTTGGAATGTCGAACTGAACCCTTTGAACAGTCTACTCCAGTGAGCGAAATAAAGGGTTCAGTTCGACAACCAGCACAAGAAGACCGAAGCGTACAACGGCCGAAACGTTGTGATAAATATGGCAACAAAGATTAGGATAATGATCCGAATAATGTAAATACTGTAGTTTAGTGGTGTTTTAGATATTAAACATTTTGTGGGATGGATAATTTTGCTGTTACACCTGCTATGTTCCGGTAATATAGCTTAATTGCCAAATCTTTCATAAAAGAAAACACTTAAAATCGGAAATCTCTGGTCACTCTCGTAACCCGTGATCACCGATTTTCACAACATCAATTAAAAGCAATATTTTCATGTCCCGAAGGACAAATCTTTCGGTAATCGATTATTAGCAAATTTTTTTCTCGCTTCTAAAATCACTCGTTATGACTTTAAAGGATGACGTCTTACACGTTTCTCCCAGTGTCAGAGACGGCTTGAGAGCTTGGTTGGACCGACATCCACCAAACTGGTGGGCCTAGAACGTTTTCTCGATTAGCAACAAGCATCCACTAAACTGGCGGCCCGGAATTTCCTCTGTCTGAACAAGAAGCAACCAACAACCCAGAATTTCCTCTAGACTGTCAGCCTTCAACTGGTAACGGGTGGTCCACAACTCAACCAAACCGACTTTGTCATAAACGATTCAAATTTTGCATTCACACAACAATAAATTGGCAGGAATTATATATTCTACACCCTCATAAATCCCAAACCAGTTACCGTTATAACTAATCACCCTACCAAACTGGTCGATCATAAAAAGCGTTCAATTAAAATCGAGCAAAAACAGCATCATGTTTAGATGTAACAGAGTCTATCTTCTTCAATTATTTTAAAATACTTTCATTAAAAATCATTTTGAATTAATGCAGTTACTGATATAACAGAAGTAGTCTGCATTTATTCAATCGAAGATAGTCGAGGACATGAAGGTGTAAAACAGGCAACATGAAGACCCACTTCAGACTATAATTACTTTGTAGTTTTTGAATTTCAGTTTTTCAGTGTGCTACCAGGGATGTAAAGAGGATATATTTATAAAGCAATTGTTAAGTTTGATGAAAATTGGTTGAAAGCTCAACAAAAAATAGGAAGGAAACCAGTAAAAATCGCCATTTTTCGCTATTTACATGGGTTTTCACTATATGGATAGACTCAATTATCAAGCAACATGACTGTTAAGCAATCAACTTATTGTTGTCTACAATGAGTGAAGTTTGTATTAGATTGCTTGAAAATTGAGGGAGTTTTTAGTTTAAAATTTGTGTTGAAATCGATTTGTGTTGAAATCGATTTTCTGTTTTTCGCGGTTTTTCGCTAAACGCATTCGCGTAGAAATAAAATGAGGTATCGTATCGTTATGATGTAAGTAACCTACATAGCGAGTTTGAACGAAATCGAAGGGAAAAAGTTGAATTTAACGATTTTTGATCGGCTTTATCGATTATTGATTTTTTAAAAATTATCTATTTTTACGCTAAAATCCTATAACTGACATCGTACAATGTGTTTGCCAGGTTTGGCCAAAATCTGTTGGATGGATCTCGAGTGAGAAGGTAACACACAGACAGACCGACAGACACACAGACATCCTATGTTTTATATATATATGTAGATACTCAATTTAAGAATAGATCAATAAATAAAATGATTCCTAAACTACATTATCTTTACCTTGACACAAAACTCAGTTATAACCTATGAAAATTTATTTCCGACCTTAAAAATTGTTTTCCTTCAATATTTTTCTCAAATGCGTTCGCACTTTCTTCGATGAAAGCAAAACAAACGCCTCCTACATCCCAGTTTCCAAAAACCTATAAACATTAGAAACTGTCCAACCTAGTCGAAACTTCAAAATCAAAACGCTTACGGTCATATCACATTAAAACATTAGTCCATGTATAATTACGAAACTTAATCAACGTCGAACCTGGTCAGTACTTCAACAGCTGACCGCTTGGAAAAGGCGAGCGCTGGAGGCTTGGATGTGAAATTGATGTAATGGAAAAGTATGAATCCATCTCTTCTCTCCCCAGCCATAGGTTAATTAATAAGACTAGTATCTCTAAACCGCTATTATCCCCAGATAAAATTCATACAGTCTAAAAATATTTCCTGGCTTTCAAAAACAAAATTCCACTGGGTACAAATAAATACCCTATGACATCAAATGAACACTAAATCAATAAAAAAAACAGATGCAAATGAACAACACCCACTAGGACCATCACATTATCTTTCAAACTAACTCATTTATATAATCTTGCTGTATTCCAAAATTAAAAGCACTTCTGCACCAGGTTTCGTAAAAGTCTAGAGAATAAGGAATTTATAATATTCATAAAGAATTCATAATCACCAAACCATAGAGAGCTGAAGAGAATTTATCTTTAAACAAAAACAATATCAGCCTCCAGATACAAGTAGACACCGGACTCAGCATTCAATTAAACATTACGCGCGCCTAAAAGTGAGGATGAAAGGAGAGTCCATTAATGGTGTACCACATGACAGCCCATGGGCCACCACGCCCAATCATAACTACTGCTTACTTGGCATTACTTACCTGACACATGGCCCGGCCCTGTGCTGGTGGTATTACGGCTACGACTAGCTTGGACCGGCCCTGACCAGCTATGACAAGTCAAGACCAGCTATGAGTAGCTTAGACCAGCTCTGACCAGCTTGGACAAGCTATGACCAGCTAAGATCAGCTTAGACCAGCGACCCGAGTGAAAACACTCGGCTCCCCACGTTAAAAACTGAACTTGTTTCACAACCTGAGGTGGTTAAGTAAATATCCATAACTACTGCTTACATGATGATGACATTATTATTATTATTACTGCTACTACTACTATTATGGTTAGGGAGTGGTTAGAATGTTCGCATTCTGACCACGAGACCCGGGGTCGAATCACACCATACTCGATTTGTCAGGAAGGAGATTTCCTGATCTTATCAGAGGGGTTGATCCCCGCGTCTGAAAACCATACCACGGATTGACCCAAGCCTCGTGAGTGAAATTGGGTAGACGGAAACCTTGGGTGCCGTCAATAGCTGTGCTAGAACGAAGTCACAATTCATCGTGGCCGAGGGTTTGAGTGTGCTGCTCTTGTTTAAATTGTTGATCACACTAGATAACACAATCTTTCTTAGAAACTGTAACTAAGGTTTCCTCAGCATAGTTGCAGTATAAACCACACGTGGGCTCTGTGGGTGTTGAATAAATACAAATGCGCCTGAGCAAGCGTCTGCAATAGGGATTGTCTAGCCGCCCTAGCTTAGACTGGTATCTCAAATACGAGGGGAACAAGAGCTGACTCACCTCTCAGATCTAACAAGACCCAACGTTTCCTTTTATTTTTGACAGAACCCTACCTCCTCTCAGTTCAGACCGAACGGAATATTCTCTCAGTTCGGACATGACTAAACCTTTCAGACATAATCCAACCTCTGCTCTCAGTTAGAACAGGACCCTACTTCCTCTCAGTCGGGACAGGACCCAACCTCTCCTCTCAGTCCCGACAAGACTCAACCTTCTCTCTGTCCGAGAGTTGCTAACTTATCCTCTATGTGAAGCCAGGACCCAAACTCATTTTTCAGTTCGGACAGGACCCGAAACCTCCTTAAAGTCCGGAAAGGACCCAATCTCCTCTCAGTTCGGACCAGACACAACCTCCCCTCTCAATCCCGACAGTTTGGACAGGACCCAATATCTTCTCTCAATGCGGACAGAATCCAACCTCCTCTCTGCTGAAACAGGAGCAAACTCACCTCTTACATCTGACAGGACTTTTCAGTTCGGACAGGACACAACCTCTTCTGTCAGACTCAGCCAGGACCCAATCCTTCCTCTCAGTTCGGGCAGAATTCAATATCCACTCAATCAGGACATAACCCAACATCATCTTAGTTGGGAGAGAATACAAGCTCCTCTCAGCACGGACAGGACCGAAATACTCCTCTCAGATTGGACAGGAACCTACATCCTCTCAGTTCGAACAGAACCCAACTTCCTCTCAGCTCGGTCATGGATCCAACCTGTCCTTTCATTCATCCTGGATAAGACGTTAAACTACATCCGCGTCCGGGGTAGGCCAACCTCTCCTCTCAGTCCGGACAGGAATCAACCTCTACTCTGTACGGACATAACCCAATCTGTTTTCCGTTCGGACAGGACCCGAACTCCTCACTGTTTGGACAGAAGCAAACTCTCCCCTAAGTAATGTCAGAACCCAACATCATCTCTTAAATCGGACAAGACCCAACCTACACTCTTATTTTCAACAGAACCTACCTCCTTTAAGTTCAGACAGAACCCAATTTTCTCTCAGTTTGTACAAGACACAACCTCTGCTCTCAATTCAGACAAAATCCAAAATCTGCTCTCAATTCGAACAGGACGCAATCTCATCGCATTCCGGGCAGGACCCAACCTCTCCTCCCTATTCGGAAAGGTCTCAACCTCTCCTATCTGTTCGGAGAGGACCGTACCTACTCTCAGTTTGGACAGCAGACAACCTCCTCGCAGTCCGGACAGGACCCAACCTTCTCTCAGTACGAAATAGTATCCCACATCCTCTCATTCCGGCCAGGACCCACCATCTTCTCTCATTCTGGACAGGACCCAACCCCTTCCCAGATCGCACAGGACCCAACCTTCGCTCAGTCAAGACAGGGCACACACTCTCCTTTCAGTTCAGACAGGACCCAACCTCCTCCTCGGCGTGCAATAAAGTCACAAAGTGATGGTATGAAATAGGTGTCTTTTTCGCATGTGTGTGTGGTGGGTGTGTATGTGGGTATGGTGTGGGTGTGGTGGGAGTGTGATAGGGGTGGGGGCGATATGTGGGGGTGGTGTGTGCGTGTGTGGAGGGGGGGGTGAAAGTAAATATAGAAATAAATGAAAATAATCAGCCTTTCTTTTTCTCACCTATACAATTAATCCAGCATCCTATCGATAATTCACTGTTTCCATTCATCGATATGAAGTCAATTTAAATAGCATAGCTCTCACACCTCAATATCTGTTTTATCATGTCTGCTACCTAGAAACTGACAGCAAAGTGATAGACAAAAAGTCAATGTCGACTAACAACAAATAAATGAATTTAAATAAATTTAAAATATAAAAAAATTAATGGCCGCAAAAATGAATTCAGACAAAAATGACACAATCGGAATGAGTAAAAAAATTGTAGGAGTAATTTTTTTTTTTTCATTTGAGAAAAATATTCTAAAACCCCAAACGAATAAGATTTTAGTGAACTTCTTGGAAACTGTTGGGTAATAAATTAAAAATAGTTTATTTTCCTTTTTCTTTTAATTTTTTGGGAAGACATTCAGATCTGTCATCAAATTAAAATCTACATGCGCACAAGTAACCACACGCACGTGTACACGTCCTGGATAAAACGGAAATAAATACGGGTATGGCGCGGATAAACCCTGGAGAACAGGATAATTGAAAACGTCTTTCTCAGGATTCCCTCCGCTTTTGAAAAAATATAACCGCCAACAAATGCTTGTCAATTTAAAATACTACAATTTATATCTGAAATCTGATCACCCCCCCACCGTCACTGATTATTATTATTATTATTATTATTATTATTATTATTATTATTATTATTATTATTTTCTTTGATTTCTGGCGTTTACACATTTCTTTCCGGGTCCCGCCCAGGTTAGAAATGACATCATGACACTTTCTACTGACAAAAAAAAAAAATAAAAAATAAAAAAAAAAGAAATTACATAGATAAAGCCCTTCGTAAAGTGTGGGCTGTACTTGTCAGAACAATTTTTTGTATCTCCTTGTGGCATGGACTTCCAGGAATCCCTTCAATTAGTCTACTGCAATCTTTTCCAACCAGTCCTAGGGCTCCAACTACAACAGGGATTGTTGATGTTCCCATATGCTACATTTTCGAGATTTCTATTTCAAGGTCCTTGTATTTTGACAACTTTTTGAATATCTTCAAAGATACATTGCAGTCAGCAGGGACTGCCATATCAATAAGGAGGCACCGTTTTTGTTTGTGGTCTTTAATAACAATATCTGGCCGGTTGGCTTTGATTGTTCTGTCAGTGTGTATTGTGTAGTCCCATAGAATTGTAACAGGTCCGTAACCGGGTCTGGTTGGTGTTCATACCAGTTTATTATTATTATTATTATTATTCTCTTCCTCCTCCTCCTCCTCCTCCTTCTTCTTCTTCTTCTTCATCTTCTTCTTCTTCTTCTCTTAGAAATATTTGTATTTTAAATATCGCTTTTAATACTTTTATTCTGCCAACCGTTTACACAAGTTTGTTTTTCTTTATCCTTCTTGACTTCATTATGTTCTGTGAATGTTAAATGTTCCAAGCCATCTTTCGCCATTATGTACCCTAGAAATTTTAACCATCTTTTTCTAATTCTAAGAAAAGTATCCTTTTTCTTTCCATTTTCTCGTTGCCGTCGATATCACCTCTGAAGTAATCGTTCAATACAAGCGCCCTTTTAGCTCTGATAGCCGCTCTTGCGAGGCCGCCGACAAATCCTGTTCCTTTTGTAACTTCAAGGAATTGTTCATCTGCTTTCCTCTGTAGTTATGTTTGGATTGTTGTAAGGTAGATCGTGCTCCTTCGCTGCCTGATCTAATTTGTTTAATGCCGACGAATACTTCAACCGACCCGGACCGAGGAACGTGTAGCCTGGGACGGTGAAGTCGATTAGCTTTCGCTTGGCGCCTCTTTTTTCTTTTTTTAGATGACGATGGCAACTACTTCCGGTTATAAATATTACGTCATTTGTTTAATATACTACAGGTTATCTCCCTTGTTTTATCTTATATTTAAATGAAAGACAAGCTTATTAAAACTCGTATGGGCACTATTTCATTTCTGTCACATGCACGGTGCAGGGAAACATTAACCTTACCTAATTAGCTAAAAAACAAATACAATATTAGCTAAGATACTTAGTATTTCCTGTTCACATGTTCGGTACATTGTGTGGAAGCCATTTTCTGTTCTCTGAAGTCTATTTACATCGGTGAAGAAATTGTCTAGCATTCATTGTCATGTTGGAGGACAGTCTCTTTCCTTTGTTTCTAACAAGATTTTTCTGTTTCTTAATACATTGATTAGTTTTTGAAAGGCATTTTTCGCCACTACAATGTGCCATCGGATCTCAGTGTTTCATTTTATGTTCGTAAAGTCACATTTTTTGTCTGTTCCACTTACTGGCAACCATACATTCAGTCTTCTTACAATTAATAGTTAGACCTTTCTTCTCCCTTTTCTTTACGACATTCTGTAGAAGTTCCTGTACCTCTCTATCAACGATTCTGTATATTTTATATTGTTAAGATAATATGGCCGCCAATTAATATGGCCGTCAATTATAAATCTTGGTAAACTTCGAATTCTCTCAGAATTGCCTCACTGTAAAGATCGAATAAGTCCAGTGAGAAAGCACATCCTTGTATTATGCCTTTTTCTATTTTTGCATATATACTGAATTCCGAAGTTTCTTTTTTCTCTCCCTTCCCTTTATTGCCTTCGGTTGGAGTCGTCGTCGACATCCGTCCGTCTCGAGAGACGATGGAGTAAGCGCGGTGCGCTACGAGCCTGGGTGGGATATATGGAGAACTAGGACTGCCCGGACGTGTAGTTCCCACCTCTCGGTCTTGCTAGCAGAGTCCAAAGGGGAGGATAAACCAATACAGTTTGGTACCAGCACGACTGCAGGAGTTGCCGGAAGGTAGCACAAAGATGTCCATCCTCCTTAGGGGCTCCACTCCGGGTTTGAATTCAGAGTTGTCCTTCTCCTAGACCAGTTGCCATCCAAGACTATAGAACCCAATCAGTCCTGCTATTTACCCATAGCTGGAGGGAGAAGAAGAGGATTCACACCTTTCCCAAGGGTATCAACACGCAAATGAATGTAATGGATTCGACTGGAATTCGAACTCGGCTCTCCGATTCCTCAATCTAAACTGCTATCCATTACTCCACCGTGCCTCCTCTGTTGGAGTTCCCGTGTCTGCTATTCAGACCATGTCATCTGGATATCTCATTATAAACGTTGAATAAGTCTGGTGAGAAGAAACATCCTTGTCTTATTTACTGAAGAAGGCCGGAGCGTACAATGGCCGAAACGTTGTGAATATCACAATGAAGATGAGGATAATAGTCCGAGTAATGTAAATAATGCAAGCAAGTAATTGCTGCTTGTTTTTTTATTGTTTTTAAATTATCCACCTCTTAATTTTATTTGTTTTAATTTTATTTGATTATCTTTATAAAACTTATATAATTCCTAAGATGGTTTTCTTTTTTCATACATTACTATCGATTACGCACTAAAGATTACGAATTAAAAAAAATTACATTTTTAGAAATCACATATAAGCAGGGGATCAGTTTACAAGGACATTAAATCGTAAACTAGAATATTTCTTAACTTTTATGAAACTGAATCATTTCTTTTTAGATATCTGTGACCTCAAGTACTTAATCTACAGAGGCATGAAAAACAATTCTGAAAAAATGTGATTATTCCTGGTTGCAGGTATTGTAGAACCCGGCCATTTATCTCTACATGCAAACCTCTCGTGACGTGCAAAACGGCATTGTGACTCACGGGAATATCTGTCCGTAGCTTTGCTGCAAATAAATGATTTTCAACTATTTATACCCCTGGGGAAATATTTTGCTCTGATCTATGTTTTGGACGCCGTGATGTCTGTTACTAGCGACATTCCGATCCATCTGTCACGGCGAGAGACTGGACAACATCTGTAGAAACGTTCATTTGACAATTGTTGCCGACATGGAAGCACCATGTTTTAATTTTCTGAAATGACAATAAGGTCTCTGGAAAACTTACAATTCGACCACACTTAAGTAGATCCGACTGGATAAAGTAAGCAGGTGTGCATCGACATGACACCGGCTTGCAATGGTCTCTCTAACCAGATCATCTGAGGTTAAATCCATTGTGTTTGACACACGCGATGAAATAAAATGAACGTTATTACAATACAAGACTGGCCGAAGAATGAAAATGCAATCACAATATATGCATCACTCAAGCAGCCAAATAATGTGCACCACTCAAAATCGGCATTTCCATAATTCAGAACGACATCTGAAAGTTGCAGAGACAATGGCCATGCATTGCTGATTCCTATGTAAAGACATTATCTATCTATCTATCTATCTATCTATCTATCTATCTATCTATCTAATATTTTCATTATCTATCTATCTATCTATCTATCTATCTATCTATCTATCTATCTATCTAATATTTTCATTATCTATTTTAATATTTTCATATCTATCTATCTATCTATCTATCTATCTAAAGGTTTTAAAATAATAGTTGATCAGCCAGTCACCCTAACTTAGTTTCAACCTTTCGGTCTGTCGGCTGACCTAAAAATGGAACAAATACACTGAATCAATAGATCCATTTACCGCAAGGAAAGTTGGTTCTCTGTGTCGCGCCAGAAAGTCCCCCCCCCCCCGAGTCCATCCTTCAAATCCATAAATCAACCATCAGTCCTTGCATAGATTACTGCTGCTATATATGGTCTGGTGCCACCGCTGTTCAAGGTCCTCGACAGAATCCAGAAACGGATATGCAATATGGTTGGTCCTGGTCTGGCATCTCGTCTACAGTCAATTTCGTGGCGTCATTTCCCCTTTGTCTTTTCTACAACATTTTTACGGTAATTGTTCCGACGAGCTATTTTCGCTGGTTTCCAATCTGCATGAATTTAAGCGTTCTATTAGTTTGGCATCTCAATCCCATCCTTTCACTGTGGAAACAGTTAAATGCAACCGTCTCTTCTACTCCAATAGATTCATGTCTCGCACTTCCCGTCTGTACAACTCCCTTCCTCTTATTTGCTTCCCTGACAGTTACAGTCTTCAAATATTCAAATGTAATGTCAATCGACATCTTCTGATGCTTTGATCTAATTCCTCGTCCTTCTCTTTATCCTTTCCTCACTTACATCTCTTTACTCGTGGTCCCACTCTCTGTAACCCCATGCGCGTGCGCGTGTGTGTGTGAGAGAGAGTGAGAGAGAGAGAGACAGACAGAGAGAGAGTGATAGTGGGGGAGGGGGTTAGAGTTTGATAGAAAGATAAGAATAGAGAAAAGTTTTGAACGTTTTTAATTAAAGAAACAGTTTTCTTTTTGTTGACCTACATATAGATTTTTAAAAAAATCATATCACTGGGTACTCTTGCATCCTCACATATGACAAAAATGTAATTTTAAATTATGCTATATTACGTATAAGTTGCTCAGTATCATGGATAGAGCGTGCGAATATAAAAGTGGGTACTGAGAACACCGACGACTGGTGATAGTCTGTTTTACGCGTGAACGCAATCTTCAGGCCATGTGTCTTGTCTTTTGGCTCGGCTATTTATATATGCTGGTCAATGGGTAACTGTTATGTTACAAATTGTTCTAGAGACTATGGAGTAGGAATAATTTTTTATCAGAATACAATTATTTGTAGCTACTTCATGGTACAGTAGAATCCTTCATATCCGTAATCCCTCATATCCGGAGCGCCTCATATCCGGAATCTCGAATATCCGGACATGATTTTGATGCGTATATTCGAACTATTTGGGTGATATGTAACTGATTTAAAATTTCTGTATTTCAGGAAATTTACTTTGGATAATTGCTTATTCTTATTTCATCTTAATGGCTTGTATTGGTGCAAAAGATGATGGGAATAAGAGGAAAAGAACAATTTTGGATTTATCGCAAAAAGTGGAAATTTTAAACAGACTAGACTCTGGTGAAAGTTCATTGTAACTAATGGCTGAGTTCAACATAGGAAAGTCAATATTGTATAATATAAAATCTTCAAAGAAACTATTCTCCAACGTTCACACTGTTACAATGAACAAGGAAATAAATAAAAAAAACATGAACATGGACTGAAAAAAGCTATTGAAAAGGTTATCAGTTTTATGGAAAGAAAGCCAGCATTCAGCTTAATACGATTGCAATAACGCTCGCAGAGTTAAAAAGTGCCGTTCGTTTAAAAGATTTTAAGAACAAAAGCAAAATGCGGAAAAAGTTGAGAATGACATTAGACGAAAAAGAATCTATCAACAGCGATTAAAAATTCTCGTTACATTATTTGTTTTACATACGTGGCATATCTAATGAATTTTCATTAACATTACATAATTCTATTTATTCTTCCTTAAAATCAATTCCGTTATATTTCACTCACCATTAGCTTATTTTGTTTACAATAAAACATTGAAAATAAATTTTAAACCTGATTTCAGTTCTTTTATTTTAATCTAAATATAACCCCTCATATCCGGACTTTATAATCAATTCCTCATATCAAGAAGGCATTCTTAGTCCGGTTGTCAGGGATTCTACTTTTTTGCTAACATATTACTCATTATATTTTTATTAATTACTTAATTATCTGATGTTTATTATTATAAAAATTAATGTTGTTTATGCAATGAGCTTGTAGTTCGTTAATTTGTTTACTATTTACTTAATTTGTTTACTTATTTATTTATTTAGATTTTTGATGTTTTTTTTTTTCGCGAGCGTTGGTCATCGATTTGTTTAATTTAAGTTGTATATAGTGAAAATATTTTGAAAAATGCTCAATTTCGATCACATGGCCTGAAGATTGCGTTCACGCATGAAACAGACTATCGCCTTTTGGTGTTGAATTCAGTGTCAACAGCAATTGTTTATATCAGATTCACAATTTTCATTTGGAAGTTCGACAACTTATTATTGTACTCCACGACTTCTTATCCTTTTTAGCTCTTAGTAAAGTTTATTTTTTTCGTTATCTCCCTTACTCCTTATTCTGCCAAACATTTGCACAAGTTTGTTATAGATGTTTCTTCTGCCCCTCTTCACACTCGTCCACAGTCTTCTGAACAGGAGTAGAGGTTTTTCCTTTGTTTTCTTCTTGGGATTGAGTTTCCGATTCCTTCTAAAGTCTTTTCATTCTCCTTCACTCCCAGTATCCCATTGCGTCATAGTGGCATTATCGCCTTGCTTCGGGTGGATTGATTAGAAAAAAAAACTCATGCATTTGTAGGTGGTTGCTATTTGATATCTGGTACAAGACTTTGAATGTTGATTTTCAAGGCAGGCAAGACTACATCCCAGCAGAGCGAAAATTTCCCTTCCTTACCTGAACAAAGTTCATATTTTGTTTTGTTTTGTTTTGATGACAACAGAAATGTGGTTCTACAGTAAGATACTGAGGAGGCTATGGACTGAATATGGGAGACGTTTTAAGGAAAATACAAATGGAAAGGATACTTGTACTTAGAATCGGAAAGAAGCAATTGAAATTGTTCGTATACATAATGAGGAAAGAGGGCTTAGAGAATTTGACACTCACCGGTCATATGAAAGGCAAGAGGATCAGAAGAAACATCTATAACGAACTTGTGCAAATGGTTGGCAGATTAAGGAGTAAGAGAGATAAAAAAAAAAAAAAACTTTACTAGCTGCTACGTTAACAAAACTAACCTAACTGCTGATCTCCAAAAGAACCCCCAATCTGTGGTTGACTGGGGTAGGAAATGGCTTGTAAACTTTAATGCCCCCAAAACGAAACTGCTCTCCTTTACCCACTACAGAGATACCTCCCTGCCTCCCATCAGAATGGTTGATTCCCAACTCCTTGAGAGCGCCTTGTTACGCCTGTTTGGTATCACGCTGTCCACTGACATGTGGTGGAATAAATATAGTGAATCAATAGCTTCATCTACTGCAAGGAAAGTTGGCTGTCTGTGTCATGCCAGAAAGTTTTTCACGTCTGAGTCTATCATTCAAATCTATAAATCAACCATCCGTCCTTGCATGGAATATTGCTGTCATATATGGTCTTGTGCTCCCGCTGTACGTCTCGAGATCCTTAACAAAATCCAGACACGAATACGCAAGATGATAGGCTCTGATCTGGCATCTAGTCTACAATCGCTATTCGACAGAAGTGTTGTGGCCTCCCTCTGTCTCTTCTACAAATATTTTCAGGGCAACAGTTCGGACGAGCTACTTTCGCTGGTTTCCGAACAATATGAATTTAAATTTAAATTTACCAAGCTGGCATCTCGATCCCACCTTTTCACTGCCAAGACGGTTAAATGTAACCGTTTCTTCTACTCAAACAGCTTCTTCTCCCGCACTTCCCATCTGTAGAACTCCCTTCCCCTTACTTGCTTCCCAGATGAGTATAATCTTCAAATATTCAAATGTAATCTCAATCGACATCTGACACCCTGAGCTTATTCCACGTCCTTCTCTGTATCCTTAATATATATATATAATATAGTATTATATAAATACTCTTTTTCTCAATCCTCTGTAACCCCTTGCGTGCTAGTGGCAGTCCCGCCTTGCTTGGGGTGAATTGTTTTTTAAAAAAAATAAAAAGGATAAGTCGTGGAATGCTATAATTTCCCACATCCTGAAGTGACACGGCAAATGGAAGAAGTTCAGATTATCTCTGGTTATTATGTTGTCCATTTGGTAGACGAAAACTTTTGGAGGTATATAATAAGTTGCCGAATTTCCAAATCAACATCGGATGTAAATAAACACTTGTTGACCCTGAAGTCTACGCCAAACGGTGATAGTCTGTTTCATGCGTGAACGCAATCTTCAGGCCTTGTGACTGAAATTGCGCATTTTCCCAGATATTTGCACTATATACAACGCATAGTATTAACATACATTTGATTTTCCGCAGAAATTTCCGATTAATAAATATCAAAAACCAAATATTCGCTATCACCAATTGGGGTCTCTTAAAGATGACATTTCGCCCCTAATAAAATCCCAATTTTCATTGTCTCTGATATCCAATATGTCCCTTGATAATAGTTGCCGTACCCTCTATCCATCCCTCGCGTCTCATCCTCTTTGACGCATCGGGATGACTTCATGAAACCTTTATCCAGCTTTCTCAGAACAACAATTCGACGAGAATATTGACGGAGGTTTTCAATTCTCTCGCTCATTACCTTGTGCAGTTGAGTCTTAAATGGTCAGCATCTAATCACCATTTCCTTTCTTCTCTCAAAGATATTTACACACAGTCAATAAAGCCAGCCAATATTTTCTCGCCTTCTCTCTCGTTTTCCTTGATCGATTGAGCGTGATAAGTCAACTGACGGATTTCAATTAAGAGCTCTCCGAGTCAAAGATCGCTTATCGAAACGGGGCAAAATATCGGCCATTTTGAATAGGCTGCTATTCGTGATATTAAGTGTACTTGACGTTTTTACAGACACTTCAACCCGTGGATGGATGTTCACTGAGACCAATAATATTTTAATATTATCCCATTGAAAGGCTTGTAGTAAATAAAAGGCACGGACATTTTAATGTTTCCATACAATTTGACAAAGGAAGAAATTGAAAAAATTCACACATTGTCTCATCGTAAACTTAAAATATATTTTTAAGAGATTTCTTTACCACCCATGTAACTTGTCATTAACAGTTTTTTTGCGTGAGGGACAATTTCAAGGTCGACCTATTCTTCAACCATTAAATTAAATTCTACTAAAATTCATAATAAAGAATTACGCTGCCACAAATTGCTAAAAGTGATCTCTCTACTCGAAGAGCACATCTTTCATGGATGAAATTTTAAACAAAGATCCGACGAAATTATAAAATGTAGAAACACCTATAAGGAAATCACTTTTACATGTAATAATAAATATACTATTTACATTATTTGACCTGTTGTCCACATCTTTATTGTCATGTAAATTTTTTTTACCAAATCTCATATTGAAAATTTGCTTTTTTCTAGCACTCCGCATTACTGGTTCCCATATTTTATTCATTTCTATGTTTGGCCGGCTTAGGAGGTTTTCGTGGCCTAACATATGTGCTGATTCCTTAAGTTTTCGTATTTTCCCGTGTTACTCTCTGTCTATTATTTCAATTTCATCCCACAGAGGACGGTGATTTCCCTTTTCCCTCACCAATAAAGATGAGGACAATAGTCCGAGCAATGTAAATAATGTAAATAATTAAAATACCTCATTTAAGAAATGTAGACAGAGCCTGAAGAAGGCCGAAGAGTATAACGACGGAAACGTCGTGAATATAGCAACGAAGATGAGGACAACAGTAACCGAACAATGTAAATAATGTAAATAATTACAATACCTCATATCAGAAATATAGAAAGATAATAAATTTATTCTGTATCAAAATTTAATCAAATTTTGTAGTAAATGATTTAATCTTTTCTATTTAAAAATGATTTCCGAAACGCTGTATACTAAGCCTTAGTTGGGTAGAGTAGAGATATTGTGATTTACTTGTGTTCCAATTGAAGTGATGCAAACCCACCTTGAAAATCCGCATTTAAAAGCCTGATATTTAACTAGAACTGTGCATATTAATCTGTGCAATAAAGCACGCCATCTTGTCTGAGAAACAATTTAACATCTTTCCAAACAACACTGAATTGTGCGCGTGATCGTTAAATAAGAAATGAGAAAATGCTGACTATAGACTTGAAACAAAGTAACATTTTAAGAGTAAAATCTTTCCTTTACATTTGGAATAATATCCTCATATTTTTTGTTATTATCACATCATTTCGGCCGTTGAACTCTCCAGCCTTCTTAGGTGTTTGTCGATATGGGTAATCGTCTGGAATTTTAAGTTGAGCTCTTTATTTAATTTATGGGGGCAGATTGTTTTCATTACGCGCCCTATGCCTTGGGATATCTCGTTTCCATGGAGTCTAAATCTATGGTGATATCCTTCAAATCTCATGAAAATATCTTAATTAGTAGAACTTTTTTCCCAAATCATATAATGAAATAGGTATGTCGAAATCTACCAAGCGTTAAGTTCAAAATCTCCCGGAGATTATCTGGATCGTCAAGCACCAGAAAAAGATCAGAGGCTGTGATAATGTCAACAAAGACGAGGACATTAGTTCGAATGTAAACAATGCAAACTCCTCACCAGAGAAATTCTAAATAGACAGATGGACAATATTATTACGTTAGGGAGTACTTCGTTTTTTAAATAAACGCCTCTTTTTTATTTAGGGAACAGTGATATATTATGTGCTTCGGTCATTGTTGGTAATAATTTTTTACAAAAAATGTATTACTGGTACTATAACCTATTTTTACACATCATTGTGTTTTGACCCCAGGTTGGAGGTTTAACTATTTACCCATAGCAGGGACCCTGACAGGTGCTACCAACCCGGGTAAGGATGGACCTGGGAACACGAGCAGTTAAGAGGTGGTTCCTGATCAGAGGTTTTGCTGTTGGATGTAGTTTATCATCTAACACAGGACGCGAATGTAGCTTATCGTTTTACCCAGGACGCGGATATAGTTTATTGTCTTACCCAGGACGTCGGATATTTTAAATGGTTTCTGATAGCAAACATTATTTTTCATTTCTATTTAAAAGCTTCCATTTTCGGTGAAAGGTTTCCCAAGGAGGAAACCTCTTATCATTATGAAATTCCAGTTCTATACAAAGGATTTCATTTTAGGGTTCCAAGAAGAAAAAATATCTTATTCTACACATTCTCCCATTTTTATTTAATCTAATTTATCTCAGATACTAATAATATACTAGAATTCATCGTATTCATTGAGGCCACAAATACACTGAATGCTTTAAAGTGATGACGGCGAGCCACCACAAAAGGGATTACCATTTTAATTTTACTCTTTTATTTTAATTTATTAGCACGTAGTGGATTCGACTGGAATTTGAACTCGGCTCTCTGGTTCCTCAATTCGAGCCGTTATCCATTACTCCACCGCAATACATTCACTTACGTACTAATACCCTTGGGAAAGGTATGAATCTTCTTCTTCTACCGCCTCAGCTATGGGTAAATAGCAGGAACGACCGGATTCTATAGCTTTTGATGGCAACTGGTCTACTGCAGAAAAAAATGGCAACCTACTGTGGGGAAAAAATCTGCCTCGTCAGTCATGTATCGAAAAGATACATGATCGCCTAAGCTTGAGAATTCCTGTTTTCATGTATCTCCCTGGAATCTATTTTCCATTCTCTGCAGCACAACTGGTCGTATCCTGGCAAAGTGTTACGTAACACAGTAACCTTGCCGACATGTTCTGAAGATCCTCTAGGTATTGTTGCAGTATGGTCATTTTGTTAGCTGGGAGTAGGTATCAATTGAATTGCAAATGACAAAACAGCAAAAATCAAGATGCTTGTCTGAATACGTTTTAGAATAAAAGGAATTCGACGACTTCGAGACATTAAAAAGGATCAGACTTAGAAGAAAAAAGCCAAATTTTGATAACTCCGTTTACAAGAAATAAACATTACGTTTGATGTTAGATGAATGCGTCCTTGCGTTCCATCTAAATTCCTATTTCTGTGAGAGTTCTGTCTTTGCATGCGTGTAACAAGATTTATAATATTCCAGTTCAACCTTATCGAATTTGAGTTAATGCGAAGTGGAAAGATTTCTTTTCAAATGTCAATTTTTCCTGCCAAAGAATCTGATTCTGTAATTTTTGCGAGATCACATTTCACTTCTGATGTGCTTACGAATTTTTACATTCCAACAAATAGAATAATACCAAGACGTTTCCTAAAATTGTTTTTATGACATGACCTTTGAAAACATTGAGGTGCATCGATCTCCAGAGTTTGTTTCACTTTATTATTTGCAAATTGCCAAGAATTATTGTGATTGATAGCGCGTTACCGTTGCCTGATCTACGGGTTTCACGTGACTGGTTGCCAGTCAAGGCTAAAAATCAGATCTACTTAATCCATAACTTGGAAGTGACAGATCCATGCCTCTTGCAACGACATTTAAGCGAAAGTGATCAACCTACCTAACAAACTTGTGTAAATGGATGGCAGAACAGACATTGTGAAGAATAGTAAAAAAACAAATATTTCTAACATCTACAAAGGATAGGAAGTTGTGGAGAGCCACGATCAACCTATCTAACAAGTTTCCGCAAAAAGATGGCAGGAGAGGCATTGTGAAGGATAGTAAAAAAACAAATATTGCTAATAGCCACAAAGGTTAAGAAGTTGTGGAGAGCCATGATCAACATAGCTAAGTTCGTCTAAATGGATAGCAGAACAGGCATTCTGAAGGATAGTAAAAAGACAAACATTGCTAACAAGGACAAAGGATAGGAAGTTGTGGAGAACCATGATCAACCAAAACAAACAAGTTTGGGTAAATGGATTGTGGGACAGTATTTGTGAGGCATAGTAATAAGACAAATATTGCTAACAACTAGAGGGGATAGGAAGTTGTGGAGAGCTAGGATCAACCTACCTAACCAGCTTGCGTAAATGGATGGGAGGACAGGCATTGTTAAAGATAGTAAAAAACAAATATATTTCTTCGATTCCCAACGGCATCTCCAAGAAAGAGAATGTTGCGAACTGATAGGGTTTCGTTTTCCCAGCCGCTAAGCCTAGTTACAAACCACAGGCAGTACATCGTAGTCGTCTAGATTGCCGTAGGTGATACATGGACGACTCGTCAGAAATCAGAGAGCACCACGCGGTCGTGCCATGTCCAACTCTTGTTTTGGTTCCGACCATTCTACTAAGCCAGGCGGTGCGCATTTTTTGTCTGCTGCGGCCAATTCCTTCCTACAACATGCGAGTTTTTTTTTTAGTTTTTTTTTATAAAGCGTTTCACCCCAAGCAAGGCGGGAAGCCACTAGCACGCAAGGGATTACAGAGAGTTGGAGCGAGAGCAAAGAGGAGTGATAGAGGGAAAGGATGAAGAGAAGGATAGGGGATAGATCAAGACATCTGGAGACGTCGATTGACATTACATTTGAATAGTTAGAGATTATAGCTATCATGGATACAGGAAAAGGGGAGAGAGTTCCACAGGTGACAGGTGCAAGACATGAAGCTATTGGAGTAGAAGAGACGGTTACATTTAACAGTTTCGACAGTGAAAGGGTGAGAGCAAGATGCCAGCTTAGTTGAACACTTAAATTCATGAAGTCTGGCAAAAGCAGCTCATCGGATCAGTTACCATGAATTTGTTTTTGATGTTACCCTGTTTTAGACTTTGCCTAAAGTTGCAGGACTGACAAGGTTGTTTGAAATCAGAGTTTTCCTTCTAGACCGGTTGTCA